GTTACAAAGGGATCTGGCCGACGATCAACACTCAGGAGAAGGATGAAACGGATATACAGTCAGGCGATTACTGGTACCATAGAAATTGGAACTCTTTGCTTGCTGCTGAAGATGGCGACCAAGCACTTATGGGAGTGTCCCAAGTGATTTGATGTCGATTATGAATTCAACATTCAAGGATGTTGGAAGAACAATAGAAGTATTAAGTCAAATAAAGGATTAGTATTTTTTGGATTATGTGAAACTAGATGGACCAGGGGGGAGGGGGGGAAGTATTCTAATATTCAGTCCTAGAATAATAAAAACCTTATTTAGAACGATGCAACAGAAAGTCAACATGTCGGTAAAACAGTGTTATGCACCAACAAATGATAAAGATGCATCTGTTAAGGAAGAATTTTACATGCAGCTTCAAAATATTATAAATATTGAAAGAAAGGGCAATGCAGACATTTTGATGGGTGACCTGAATACCAAGATAGGATCTGATAACATAGGTTATGAAAAGATTGTAGGAAAACACGGAAAAGGAGTAGTGAATGAAAACAAAGAATTATTCACAAATTTTTGTGCAGGAAACCAGTATGTCATAGGAGGAAACATTTTCCCACATAAAAGAATACCCAAGGCAACATGGGAATCACCAGACAATAAGACAACCAATCAGATTGCTCACATATGTATAAACAAGAAATTTAGGTAATCCCTTAATGTTGTTAGGGCTTCTAGAGGTGCGAATGCATTTACTGACCATTTTATGTTGGTAAGTAAAATCAAGTTGAAACTTAAAAGAGATTCCCATCTTATAATCATAGAAACCAGTATAGTGTAGGATATCTCAGGGATAAAGCGGTAAGGAACAATTTTCAGTTAAGTCTAATAAGTACCAGGTGCTGCAGCAGTTATCAAAGGAAAGGAGAATAAGGGCAGATCTAATGCAATATTTAGATGACCTAGCACAAGAAGCACAAACAGCAGCAGCAAAAGGAAACCTTAGAGACCTTTACAGTAACACAAGGAAATTAGGTAAATATAGTCTGCCAGTTGGATCAACCAAAAATACAAAATAAGTAGGATTATTTGAGACAGACTGAAAATGCTATTGATAAAAAGCTAAGAGATGAACAGGCAGGTTTTCGGCCAAACAAATCCTGTACTGACCAGATAGCCATAATAATAGAACAAAACGTTGAATTGAATTCATCATTTTACATTGGATTCATAGACTATGAAAAAGCTCTTGACAGCATTGTTAGGGAATTTCTCTGTAAATTAATGGGGGCACTATGGAATCCCACATAAAATTATTAACTTTGTAAAGGCAAAGGCAACAAAAAAAGACATGAAATGTCAAGTTCTTTATGAGGGAAAGCTAACAGATACATTTGAAATTTAAAAAAAAAACAGGTTGTGCTGCGACAGGATGTCTTTTGTCGCCTGCCCCATTTTTTACTAGCAGCAGACTGGATTATGAGGACAGCAACTGCTAACATCGAGAATGGAATTCAGTGGACCCCTGCAAAAAAGCTTGATGATCTGGACTTTGCTGGTGATATTTCTCTTGTGTCCCATTCACAGAGTCAGATGTGAGATAAATTAACTTAATGTAAGATCACAACTACTCTGAAAATTCATAAAGGAAAGACACAGATAATGAGATTAAATCAAGCTGATAGTAATGTGATTTCTGTTGAAAGTATCCCACTTCAAGATGTGGAGTATACCTATTTGGCCAGTAATGTAGATAAAGATGGGGGAACTGAAGTAGATATTTAAATACAGGTACAGTAGACAAGAGGAGCTTTCATAACACTAGGAAATTTGTGCAGGTCAAAAGAAATTCAAACTAATACTAAACTGAATATTTTTAATTCTAATGTAAAATCAGTACTTCTGTATAAAGTGGAAACATGGAGAACAACTACGGCAGTTGTTACTAATAAATTATAAACATTCATTAATTGGTGCCTGCTCAGCATAGAGGGAAGTAAAGGGTGTGATAGAATCACTAATGTAGAGCTTTGGGAGATAACTAAACAAGTTCCAGTGGACCAAGAAGTGAAGAAAAGATGCTAGCTTTGGATAGGACACACGTTGGGAAAACCTGAGAACAGTATAACTAGAATGCCTTTGCACTGGAACCCACAGGGCCATAGAAATAAAGGAAGACTCAAAAACACATGGAGAAGGTAGCTAGAGAGTGAAGTTAAATAGATGGGGGGAACATGAGGAGAGCTGCATGCGATAGCGAAGGATAGAACAACTTGGGTTGAGTAAGTTGAGGGTCTGTGCTCCATTGGGGTTAAAAAATTAGTTGCGTATCCTTTTACAGGATGTTGCAGAACCAACCCCAGCACTTTCTGGCTGTTGTGGTTTTTCTAGGCAAATTTACATCTAGTTGTTTGTCATTGCTTTCTGGAAGGTTGACTCTCTGTACCACATTTGAAACCATCACAAGACAAACCGTCTGCAGCAGGGATCGAACCCGGAACCCCGACATTACGAAGCGCGTTCGCAAAGCCACAGACACCGACCCATTGGGGGTTAAATGGCAAAAAAAAAAAAAATGAAGAAGACGGGTGCTCAAAGTTATTCCATTCAGCCCCCAGACACTTATTAGTGTGGCAAACTGCTGCCAGGGTTATGTTATCAAAAGTGTCCAGTGTTTATATGGTCTTTTCATAACTATCATACAACACATACCTACTGTAATTCGATCTTAATATGGCAGAATATGTCGCGTAATTATGTTTTTCAAATAGAAAATCTTTTTGAATATGTTTATACATTTCACCAATGGATGATTACTATGAATCTATTTTTTTTGGGTCTTGTCTCTAAATATATTTACACACAAGCGTTTATCTGTACATATATACAAATATATGTGTGTGTGTGTATATATATTTTGCATGCAGTAGATTTTTCTTCTGATTTTGTTTTCAAAATTAAAATTTAGCATAGGCACTCTGCCCGTTCTGCAAGCTTTGCTAAATTTACAGCTCCTGGAGAAATATAAAGTTGTCTTCCCTGTGTAGGTTTCGGGGCCCTGTTAAAGAGAAAACATGAATAGGCCCTCTGCCTACCCAAAAGCGTGTCGTAAGAGTCGACTAATTGGGAGCTTCCTTCAAATTCAGAGGGCATCTGCCTGAAAGGCAAGGAATCAGCAGTCTGCATACAAATGAGTCAGATCTGTAAAACGGATACACACGTACACTCAGGTTCTGGAACAGGACTGCAGTTCAGAAGTGGACGAACAACCAGAACTTTCCACCAGAGTTTACAGCTGGTGAATGTGAAGAAGAAGAAGATAAAGTTCTCTAATCTGCACATTGATCTTCCTAGCATTGAGAGATGGCTTCATATCCTGCTAGAGAGGCGTTTGTCATTCAGGCACAACAGTTAGTCACAGATGTCACACCAGTTTGAAATTTCCTGCTCCACTTATTAGACCTGCAGACGTGCATCACTGAACTAGACATTCATTCACAGAGTTTTTAAAAAATAGGTTTGACCCCTTCACTGATCAAAAGACAGATAATAGAATGCTGCTCCTCTGTGATGCATGTCAACAGTGGGATGGCCACCTAAACTATCATTATGATGTCACTGTGTTTGTACTGTGATGTCACATGCTTAACACCCTTGACATCCTTAACATCAGTATTGACAGGTTGCAAGATGATGGCATGGTTATTAAAATGTTTGTCATACATTTTAAGCCTCCTCGTCCTAGTCGAGGTTTCAACTTCATTGCAGTTGGGTTTCCCCATACTTGCTCTGTTTTTCTCGTAAGGAGGGGTATTTCCTTTAAAGACGAAGTGCATCTGTCTGAGAGGTGAGCAACCAACAGTCTGCACATAAATAAGCCATATAAGGTGTTCTCTGCAAATTCAAGTTCTGGAACAAGACCAAAGTTCAGAAGTGGATGAACAACCAGAACTTTTTAACAGTTTACAGCCAGTAAACACCACGATGATTAAGATGAGATTGACACCCACAGCTGAGATAAGTTGATTCAAGAACCAACATCACACCACTCGGGGCATTTCAATAAGCACTCCATTCCTATCTTCAGCAGCCTGCTTAGAGTTCCAATACCAATGGAGCCAATAAGAGTCTGATTATACGTCTTCTTGCTTTTCCTCTGAGAGTCAAATATCGGCTACATCACCTCGTCACCCCCTGCTGCATCATTCTAATCTTTCTAGTCGGATTTTGGTGATCCATTTGCTCCTCTGAATTGTACATGTTCTCCCATAAGGTCTTGACATTCACAGGTGCTTTAAAGACTAATAGAGAAAAGAGACTGCACTAGATAACATGAGAATCAGAAGCTAAAGTTGTCTTGTGGGAACTTCAAGCTGTCTCCGTGGCAAAGTGTTCGAGCTGTTTGCCTAGCTCTCTGATGGTCGTGGGTTTGTTTCATGAAGGAGGCATTCAGATCAAGAGCTCAATTTTTAGGGAGATCCCTGGGGATCATAGCTGGAGATACGGAGTTCATGCTATGTGTGGCGCTTTCGCCGTTCTGCAGAGAGAGAGACTGAGCCATATCTGAAGCTGTTGCCTGCAAATAATAAAGAAGCCCATCATTTGTTTTTATTTGTTTGTGATTTCAGTAGGCATAGTTTACATTTAGTAGTTTGCAAATGCTTTCTGAACGGTCAGTTGTCATTGCAACTGTCAGAAGCAACACACGGCCTGCGGCAATAATTGAACCCAGCAACTAAGAATCATGAAGCAGCTAGACATCTAGAAAAAGGTGTCAGTTTCAGTATGTCAGTTTTCTTATCCTGCTATTTCTATAACATTGGCAGTCTTTTTTTCAGAAACAGATTAGGTGAATTTGGAAATGGTGATACATTGATAAACATGAGCATAATCAAATTGGAAATTGAAATAGAGAAACTAAGTACTGACCTGTAGCAATGTTTTTTTTTTTTTTAAGTAGGCATAATTTATAAGTGAATGTTAACATTTTTCATGGGAAATTTCATCAGGAACGTGTTCATGCAAAAGACCCCCCACATGCATATTTGGATAAACTAAAAGCATATCTGGACCCAAAGGCCACCAGGAGTTCACGGGTAAGCAAACCAAACCTATTCCATATCTGTATTCTTACATTAGGATTCATCATCGTCAGGTACCATGCCAACTGTCTTTGATGTTTATGTTTCTCAACATTTTACTAATAGTATGAATCAAATCATGTGTATCTTTGCATCTGGTATCTAGAAATTGCAGTTATACTAGAAAAGAAAATCCTGTTCCAATGTGTATAGGTAATAAAGTACAAGAAGAAAAATCTCCCTAAATTTATATAACCATAAAACTGTTGGCATGCGTTACCGTTATACCTTGAACTTGTATGATACTGGTGTTAGCATATTGATAATACATTTCTATGTTTACTTAACAGATATATATTTAGTATATTTCAAATCTGGCTGCTTTTGCGGCTTTGCGTTCCCTTCCTTCCGGTACTTGTTTTTGTTTAGTTTTAGTTTTATTCTTCTGTAGTGTTTGTTAGTATTGTCATTCTATGGTAAATTCTTTATTATTTTAGGGTGAGAGAGATAAAATATAAAACACTCAACCCAGATGAGAAGTAGAACTAACCAATCAGATTCTAGAAAGCCTTCAGCAGTTTATTTTAAAAAACAAAAGCACAAGGCCAGCAATCTTTTTCTTCTTTGCGTTCACTTTATTCTGTTCCACAACCTGAGTGTTGTATACACATACATTTCACAGGTGTGACTCATTTGTGTCTGGCTGTTGGTTTCCTTACCTCTCAAGCAGATGTACTCTGACCTCGAAAGAAGCTCCAAATTAGTTGACATCATGCTTTTGTGCAGGCAGCGAGTTTATTTTTTTTTTTGCCCTACAGTGACACCCTGGCACCCACACGGGGACAGCGATCATCATCATCATTATTAAGAACCTTGTTAGCTGGCACGGTTGATCATGCCTCTGAATGGCTTGCTGCCTCTGTTATGTATCAGTTCATATGATGGCGCACTTCCGTCAGAAGTCATCATGTGTTGTGTCTCTCCACTGTTGACATATGTGAATAGTGATACAGTTACATACAAGACTAATCAGTTAGGCGAGGTCCACTAGTTGTTGAAATATCCACGTGTGTGCTGTCATGTGTAAAAAAAAAAAAAAAAGGCAGAATTAAAGAACTTTGCTGGAATAAATACAGTTTTTCATATTCTAAGCTGTATATTCCACTTGTTGACGGTGCTGCAGATCTGGAATATTTATTGTCTACTGCAGACAGGAAGTGTGGGGACATCTTCACTCCAGGAGGTACAGAAATGAATGCATAATTGTAGAATGAACACATGTAGTCTGGGAATTAATGATCCCAATGTTATGCACATCTTCTTTGTCAGCATTCCAAGCCCTTGAGGTTCATTGATTTTGATTACCACCGAAATGATGTATGAATCAATAACTATGCAAGGAGTGAAACTGGGAGGGCAGATTGTTAAGATGGGCCTACATGCCAAATTCTTAACCCTTTGAAAAAAAAAGATTGTTCATTCATTCATTTGTTCTGTGATTGGTCTAGTCTTTCGAGTTAGTGACTCCAAGTGTTTGTATGCCCGCATGTGTATTATCTCTCCACAATCTTCTTGGTCTATCTCATGGTCAGCTCCTTTTCAACTCTTTTTATGAATGTTTTTTTGTTTTGCTCTGTTATCTACCATTGTCTGTGTATGCCCCATCCGACACAGTCTATAAGCCCTTGTGCAGCCAGTTATTAATAGTGATTTAACCAGATTGTGAATTTCAATGTAGCTTCTCACTCTCCAGTCTCCACTGTTTTCATCTTTGATGAGTCAAAAGATTTGCGCTTCTAGTCAGTGAAATATTGATACTGAATTTTGAATGTTCATTGATGATGAATTTCACTCATCCAGTCAGTGAATTAATGATACTCAGTGGCTTTTGATGACTGTGAATTGGGTATACACTTATCTGTTCAGTTTTTGATGCTGTTAATTTGCCAGCTGCAGATTCCGGTGGGAAGTCCTGGTTGGCTGGCCGACTTTTGGCTTTGATTTTGTTTCAGGACTTGAATGTTGGGTGCCCACATCCATTTTCCAGATCTGGCTTATTGTGTGCAGTGTCTGTTCCTCCTCTCTCTCATGCGGATGTGCTTTAATTTTTTTCGATTTTGGCCAGGCCCCTGTTAGGGCAACTGTTTCCAGTGTGACCAGAAGTGTAGATAAGTCATAATTAGTATAAACCTCTTCATCCCTTAGTGAAGTTAGAGGTAACTCATTGTCAGTTTTAACTATTAATTAGGCTGAGTGGGGAGAAAAAAGGTGAAATCTTCAAATGAACCTTAAAACTAGAGATAGCAATATGCCGTGCTCTATACGTATTCTGTTCTGTTCTGATTATCCTATCTTGAAAAAAAAAACCCAGTCCTATAGAGACAATGATAGTGGGCACAGTTGAGAAGCTAGTGGACTCTTGTTGAAACTATTTTAACAATGATCTTGTTTTTATAGCGCAGCAGAATGATAAATGTCTATAGGTTAATGAATGATGATGTTATGTTTTCCATTATAAATGTAATAGCATAGAATTAAATGCGGTAATAGTCTGATAAATTCCTTTTTTTTCGTGCTTTTAGTGAACTTTATTTAGTATTGTTCTTCCTAACCAATGAAATAATTACTATTGTTTCTTATATGCATATATTTTTATTTCAAATGTTACATATGAATAGAGTAGAAATTGTAAGATTTGATTATTACAGCCTACATTCTTATGTGCTGTGATTTCACCCTCTGCTGTTTGTTTCTTCTAAATCACACATTTCTTGTGGTGAGTTTTGCTTGCATGCAGTTGGTTGTTACAGTTTTATATAGAACTTTTTGAATTAATATGCTGCTTAAACATGTTGTTAACAGCAGGCTATGCTCATCTCTCAGTGTATTTATAAGTCAGTTACATCATTTGGAAAAGAAGAAAAGTGTTAAGAGTTTTAACTATCTAAAATCCTGTATGCCATTCATTTGATGTACACCTGGTTTGTTATTGAGTTTTTACAGTTCAAGACAAATTGTTAAAAAAAAACCCACCCAAGCAGGATATAGAAATATTGTTTTTTTCTTTCTTTTTAGCAGCAGTCCCTAAGGACAGTGCTTCTCAAACATTTTTAATTTAGTACTTCTTTTCTTAATTAAGTTAACCCTGTGGCCTTCTAAATGTAACCCTAGGGTTTTCTAAATTTAAAGTACCCTTCGACCATCTAAAATTTCCTGCATATAAGTTATACAATAACTGATTGTGTGGAATATGATTTTTGACAAACGGCTGTATATCTATTGAAGGTGCTTGTGACATTCCTGGGATTACACCAAATACACTTTGAGGACAATGAACAAACTGTAGAGCAGATGTTTTCAACTGTGAAAATCACTGTTATACACATTTCCATACCTGTGTTAGTTTGATCCCATTAATCATTGCTTTCCTTAGAGCCATGCTGTTGATTTCATCTTGTGCTTGTCATATAAAGAGCGGAGAGTATTGTGTCTGCCAACGGGGCTAACATTTAAGCATTTGTATTAACTGTGTGCTACAAGCGTGTCCAACACATGCTGAGCAGAGAAGTCTGTTTTTGCAGACACCAGCACCATGGAGATGTCAACAAGCTCAGATCGACTGCTGGTTTCCAAGGTCCTGTGTATGGCATGTGAAGAAGAACATTGACAGGCTATATATGTATGTGTTTCTACTCCCCCCCCTCTCTCTCTCTCTCTGTATAGGTATATATGTGCGTGTGCGAACATATACTGAAATGTACATATATATAAATGTGTATACACACACACACACACATGCGTTTTCTGGTGTTGTTCTTTCCTTCTGTCTCGTCTCCATGTTCTTTCCTTCTGTCTCGTCTCCATGTTCTTTCCTTCTGTCTCATCTCCATGTTCTTTCCTTCTGTCTGGTCTCCATGTTCTTTCCTTCTGTCTGGTCTCCATGTTCTTTCCTTCTGTCTGGTCTCCATGTTCTTTCCTTCTGTCTGGTCTCCATGTTCTTTCCTTCTGTCTGGTCTCCATGTTCTTTTCTTCTGTCTGGTCTCCATGTTCTTTCCTTCTGTCTGGTCTCCATGTTCTTTCCTTCTGTCTGGTCTCCATGTTCTTTCCTTCTGTCTGGTCTCCATGTTCTTTCATTCTGTCTGGTCTCCATGTTCTTTGGTTGAGCTGGTAATGCAGCACAATCACCACAGTATAACAGGTTAGTTTACCATCATCCTATGGATGTGTTTGTTGTGATAGTTTGTCCGACAGCAGATTGTTTGTTGTGATAGTTTGTCCTACAGCAGACATTGTGATATCACTCAAGCTTTTGAACTTGCACTCGGGAATTAGTCAGTTTTTTTTATCCGATTGTAACAAACCTTTACTGGCCATGGTGTAGTGACTAGATGCTCTCCCGAAGATTGGAATGTCATGTGTTCAGGTCCTGATGGAGCTGAGCTTTTTTTTTTTTTTTAAAGAAACGACCTTGGCTCACAGGTTGATCCAACCTTGAGTGGGTACCAGATATAGCCCTGGAAAGTAAAGGTGGCCAGCATGAAGCTGACCACCTCACCCACTAAGTACTGTTGGTCTATAAAATATAGGTCTAGCCCTATATGTCTAGTACCTGAAGGTGTGGGAAAAGGGTCCTTTACTTTACTGACAGACTCTTTGTCTTTATCAAATATATTGCCTTTCACATCTCATGCGAGTGATTTTAATCATGGTATTATGTGCTCGGAATGTTCAGTGCGTCTGGCATTTGTCTGGTTTAGTAATCCCTTTTCATCCTTGATTTTGATTTGGACATTGCTGATCTCTTTTAGATCTTAGAGTTACTGGTCTTTACCATCCAACCCCTGCACACAAGGGTCGCAAGTGCTGTTGTAGAGATTACACACATGGCTGGGTCTCTGTGACTACTACAGTCCACACGTAGACTAAGCCAATCTTTGCACAGATTTGGCTGAGTTGTAGTGTGTGCAGTGAGCTCCTGAGATAAACGCAAAATTTTGAACTGTGTGGAGCTAAGT